AATTTAAAAATTACATAAACTTGAAACCTGCCTGCCACCCTTTTGGAACACAACAGGGTATAAAGTGTTATGAAGTACTTGTTAGATGTATATGCATTAATGTAATAATAACCTAATGGTATTTCATTGAGGTTGCTGAATTTTGGGAATGGAATTTATTAAATTGGGAGAACAAACTACCTGAAAAGATTAGAGAGAACAATGCCTTGAGCTCAGATAGCATCAGAAATAATTCTGATTGGTCTGAGTGGAAAACCTCATAATTCTTGGAGTGTTGAAGGGTGTTTCGTTTCACTAGTGGGGCAGAATTAGCCCTAGACTAAATGCTGTTCTGGCACTGTATAACAAAAAGGATCAAACTTCCCAAATAACTGAATCTCAAAAGAAGGCTCAAAACATATATAGGAATACAAACTATCCAGAACTTAGTAGGTCAAAGTCCAGTACCCAACCATTCACTCAAAAATTACTAGGCATGTAAAGAAGCAGGAAAATATGACTCATAATAGGAAAAAAAAATAGTGAATAGAAACAGACCCAGAAGTGACAGTTAACATAATTAGTGAACTCAGACATTAAAACATATTCCTATATTAAAGAAGCTAGAGAAAAGACTGAATATGTTAACTATAGACATGAAGATGTATAAAGATCAAAATAGAACTTCCAGAAATTAGATCTACAATGTCTGAGATTAACAGCAAAAATAAAGGATGACAAATTTCTAAATTTGATGAAAACCATAAACTTGTATATCTAAGAAGCTCAGCAAACCGTGAGTACAAGAAGTATGAAGAAAATGACAATAAGGCATATTATCATGAAATTGTTTAAAACTCGTGATAGAGAATTTGAAAAATGACAAGAGGAGTGAAGATAAACATGCGACCAGTCATCATAGTTTCTCATGGGAAACAATGCAAACCAAACTGGAGTGACCCAACATCTTTGAAGTACTGAAAGAAAAAACTGTTGCCTAGAATTCAATACCCACTAAACATTAATTTTAAAAATGAAGGTGAAAAAAAGACTTTTCCCAGGTATACAAAAAGTGAAAGAATTCAATACCAGCAGACCTGCATTATAAGAAAAATAAAAGAAGAGAAATTATACCAAATGGAAATCTGGATCTATACAAAGAAATGAAGAAAACCAAAAATGGTAATTATGTGGGCAAATGTAAATTACTTTTGTTATTTAAATCTCTAAAACAATTTAATGTTCAAAGCAAGAATAACAATGTATTGTGAGGTAAAAGGTAATAAAAAAAGGCAGAAGGAAGAAACTCATTTTGTAATAAGGTTCTTAAACTAACATGAAGTGGTACAATGTAATTTGAATTAGATTGCGATGAGTGAAAATGTGTATTATAAACTCTAAAGCAATCATTAAAATAACATAATAAGTATGCAGTTCATTAATCAACATAGGAAATAATATGGAATCATTAAAAAACACAGTTAATCCACAACAAGGCAGAAAAAGGAAAAGTAGGACAAAGAACAAATAGGATGGACAGGAAACAAATTTCAGGGTGACTCAACTATATCAACAATAACATTAAATGTAAAGAGTGTGAACACCTCAATTGAAAGGCAGATACTGTCAGATTGGATAAACAAAGCAAGACCCTACCAGAAATCTACTGTAAATGTGAAGACACAAATAGGTTAAAAATAAAAGGTTGGGCTAAAATATACCATGGTAACACTAATGAAAAAACAGTTGGTCCTGGTGAGTGTGGCTTAGTTGGTTGAGCATCGTCCTGTGCACCAAGAAGTCACCAGTTCAGTTCCTGGTCAGGGCATATGTATGAGTTGCAGGTTTGTTCCCTGGTTGGTTGGGGTGCATGCAGGAAGTAGCTGATCGATGTTTCTCTCTCATGTTGATGTTTCTGTCTCTTTTTTTCTCTCTCTCCCTCTCCCTTCTCTCTAAAAAATCAATAAAAACATAAACACACACACACACACACACACACACACACACACACACACACACACAGTTGAAATGGCTCTATAAATATCAAAGTAGATTTCAGCAAATAATATTACCAGGAATAAAGAGGATTGTGTCATAATGGTAAAGAGGTTAATTCATCAGGAGAACATAACAATCCTAAATATTCATGTACCTGATAGCAGCTTCAAAATTCTTGAAGCAAAAATTGAAAGAACTACAGAGAGAAATGGACATATATATACTAAGAGTCAGAAATTTCAGCACCCCTCTCTCAATAGTTGACCGAGCAAGCAGAAAGAAAATCAATAGTGAGATATATAGGTGGCTTGAACAACACTATCAAACAACTTATCCTTAATGACATTTAATGAACGCTTCACCTAACAATAGCAGAATGCACATCTTTTGAAATAAGAGTGGGTCACAGAACAAATCTCAATAAATTTAAAGGGATTCTAATGAGACAGCATATATTTTGTTTTAATTCCATAGTGGAATTAAATTGGAAATCAATAAAAAAGAAATCTAGGTAATCTCCAGATATGGGGAAACTACATACTTCTAATCCTTGATAAAAAAAAAAAAAACAAAAAAAAACAAAAAACACCCAAAGGGAAATTACAAAGCATTATAAACTGAACGAAAATTAAAACAACATATCAAAATTTGTGGGAGCTACTGAAGAAGTATATAAAGAAGTTTATAGAACTAAATTCTTTTATTAGGAAAGAAAGGTCTCAATGCAATGACTTCCACCTTAAAAACTAAAAGAAAAAGAGTAAGTTAAAGCCATACTAATCAGAAGAATGGAAAGCAATGAAATGGAAAATAGAAAACACAGGGGAAAAAACCCCCAACTGATTTTTAGAAGGTCAGTGACAAATCTGGCTAGAATGGTAAAAAGGAGAGAAGACGCAATTACCAACATCGGTAATGGGAAAGATACCATCCCTTCAGATCTTATAAATATATAAATATTTAAGAAATAATGAAGAAATACTATAAATAACTTTATACTAATAAACTAATAACTTTACACATGTTAGATGACATAGACATATTCCTTGGAAGGCGCGAATTACCAAAGCTCACTCAACCTGAACAGTACGGTATCGATAAAATAAATTTAATTTGTTGTAAGAACTTTCCCTCAAACAAAACCACAAACCTAGATGGGCTCTTTAGTGAATTATGTAGAAACAATTTTCCTGAAACTCCCAGAAAATTGAAGAAGAGGGAATTCTGTCTCACTCATCACATGAAGCAGCATTGTTCTGATACTAAAACCAGACAAAGGTGTAAGAAAACTACAACCCAACCTCTCTCATGAACAGAGATGTAAAACAGAGATTTTTAACAAAGAGAATTCAACAATATGTGGAAAGGGCAGTGCATCATCCCTTAAGTGGGGAATGCAGTATTGGTTTAACATGTGGAAATGAATTAATAAAATTCACCATATCAAGAAACTAAAAAGGAAAAAAATCATATGATCTCAGTAGACACAGAAAAAAAACATTTGACAAAATCCAACATCCATTCCTGATGAAAACACTTTGCAAATGGAATAGTGAGGACCTTGGTTAGCCTGATGACGAAGGACAACTCATGTCAATTAGTATAAAGTGTTTGACAGTGTGGTTCAGGCCATCTATGTCACTACTGATTTTCTTTCTTCTTGCTCAATTATTGAGAGAGGGATGCTGAAATTTCTGCTGTTATAGGTACATAAAACCCTACCTGCAACACGTAATGGTGAAAGACCAAATGCTTTGTCACTACGATCAGAAACAAGTCAAAAGTACCCCTCACAGCACTGATGTCATTGTCCGGGCGGTTCTAGGCAGTGAGCTAAGGCAAGAAAAAAGAAAAGGCATCCACGTCAGAAAGGAAGCAATAAAACTTTTTATTAGCTAATGACATAAGCTGTTTATGTAGAAAGGCTATTACCAAAGATCACCTAGATAAATGAGTTTAGCGTGTTTCCAGGGTGTAACACAAATACATAGAAGTTACGATCTTATTTTTGTAGAGAAAAAGGTATATCATTGAAAAACCAGAAGAATGTGCTTCTCTATGGGTGACAGGCTCCTAATTTTCCTTTTCTGTTTTCCTATACCTTTTTTCTAACTTTTCTGCAAGTGTTTACTTTTGTGATAATGACAGCAATGAAATCTTTTTTCAAATACATACCTTTTCAGTCCCACTACATAAATGTAAATGTAATGTGGTTTAATAATTTTAGGCAGATATCACTATTCTGACCTTTCACATTTAAAATATATAAGGTATCTACTTAGTTCGGTTAATGTGTTCTTATTCCAGCCTACCATTTTCTGTCATCAGCTCTGGTACCCTTCCCTACCTGCCTTCCTTTGCCTTCTAATGTAAGAAAGGCATTGTAAAGGCTCGTGGTCCTATTCATTGTTCATTTTTCCCACATATTTGTGGAGCATCTCCTATGTACCAGGTACTGGGAAGTGCAGAAGTGAAAAAGACCCCAAGCCTCCTGAGGCTCGTCCTCCTCCCCATCTCTCACCTCTTGTCGTTTTCTTTCTTGGTTTGCTGTACCCAGCCGTTCTAGGCTTCTTTCAGTTCCTGGAACTTGGAAAGCACATTCCCCACTGTGGCCCTTGCTCGCCATGCTATTTCCTTTGTCAGGGATACCTCCTCACCCCACCTCCAGCTAGCTCCATATTCTTTTTTTAGTTCTTAAATATCACTTCCTCAGGGAAGCTTTCCCTGACCTGCCGGACAGGGTTACAGATTCTCATAGCATCTTGACCTTTACCTTCCCAGATTTATCACTGTTGCGTTTAATACTTTTTGAGTAACCTCTAGACTGAAGTCGTGCTCCTGTCACAGGTGTGTGCTCCTGAGTTCGGCAGCGCTGGGCTTCAGTGTGTGCTGAACTGTTAAGTCCTTTTGTGATAGACCAGCTTGTCCTCTGGGTGGATTAACAATGCAACCGTGGCTGAGGGTTAGATGGAGCAGATCTCACTGTTAATACAGTACCTCACACACTACCCTTGGAATTTCAGGTAACACAGGAAGAAGGACAGCAGTTAGCACGACAACTGAAGGTGACTTATATGGAGGCATCTGCAAAGATTAGGATGAATGTAGATCAAGCTTTCCATGAACTTGTCCGGGTTATAAGGTAAGCAAAATACATTCTAGAAATTTGTTTTAATTTATTGGATTTGACAGGTAATCACACTGTGCTTTTCAAAACCATTAACAGGGGGACCATTAAATGTTTTTCAGTAAGAAAGGAAATTGTATGTAGAAATGATTCTGATTTGGGGATTAATACATGTGTTAAAATGTTTAATTAAGTACATTTTATATTCTAGGTACCTCCTACATATAAACCCTACTTTAATTAAATTGAAGTGGAAAGTCCACATAGGAGTTTTTGAAAAGAATCTATGCAATTTCCAAAGGTGGTGGTGTGAGGATAGCAATGACGGCAGCTGATGTTTAAGGGTAGTTTCTGGCAGATGCTGGGCTAAGTGCTTTATGTGTATTATTACATTTAATCCTCACCACAACCCAGTAAGTCAAATACTTTCATTTATCCCCACTTTCTGATGGGGAGACAGGTACAGAGAAGTTAACTAACTTGTCCAAAGCTTGGGCATATTAAATGGAAGAATTGGGACTTGAATCCAGAGTTCTGAGTCCAGACTTTGCTCTTAGCTTTGCTTCTTACCCAGCTCCTCCCAGCGAAGAGTAATCGAGTGGTAGATACTGAGCATTCCCATGGGTCATGGAGTGTAATCTAGACTACAAAGAGTCTTTCTGTTAGCTGGCCTGGGAGGCCCCTGTGGTTCAGAAAGTGTTAATGGGTTCCAGGAAGCTTGAGGCGATGGGTGAAGTCCACTGGAGTTTCTGTCTGTTTGTGAGAAGAGATTAGGGTGCTTTCTTGAACAGGTTTGATTTGGTTATTTTGAGCCTATGCCTAGCCCCTAGCATACCCCCTGCTCTCTAGATCTACTGGGCTCTCTGCTAGTTAGTTTGACAGGTCTGTGGAGTAGGCTCATGTTAATTCTGTATCTACTAGTAAGCTGACTTGACCTCTGAACTTCTTATAATTTTTAGCCCTTGACTGAGCGTTCTCTGTGGAGGGCGGTCGGTGAGGTAAAGATTATATATTTTTTACTAGTTTGTTAAAAATCTGAGGCCTGCTACTTTTTAATGAATACAGAGTCTAGACTTGCGAGAGGAAAGAGTTTTGGAGATGGATGGTGGTGATAGTTATATAACATGAATATTTTTAAATGCCACTGAACTGGACACTTAAAAATGGATAAGATGGTAAATTTTATGTCATGTGTATTGTGATATACACAGAGATGAACTAGTCCTTCTTAAAATAATTTTTACTGCCTTTTTGAAATATTTTGTCGTTGGATTTGATCCTCAGAATCTGTTTATGTCCATCCATCCCTCAGGAGTGAGGAGAAGGTAGGGCAGGCTTTCTAATGCTAGGTACTGTTAGGCGTATAAACACTACACCGGCCTAACTGGTTTTGCTCAATGGTTAGAGTGTCAGCCCTTGGACTGAAAGGTCTTGGGTTCAATTCTGGTTAAGGGCACATACCTCAGTTGCAGGCTCAATCCCTGGCCCCAGTTGGGGTGCGTGCAGGAGGCAGCCAATTGAAGTATCCACATTGATGTTTCTCTCTCTGTCTCTTCCCCACCCTTCCACTCTTTAAAAATCAATGAACAGCCGAAACCGGTTTGGCTCAGTGGATAGAGCGTCGGCCTGCGGACTGAAAGGTCCCAGGTTCGATTCCGGTGAAGGGCATGTACCTTGGTTGCGGGCACATCCCCAGTGGGGGGTGTGCAGGAGGCAGCTGATCGATGTTTCTCTCTCATCGATGTTTCTAGCTCTCTATCTCTCTCCCTTCCTCTCTGTAAAAAAATCAATAAAATATATTTTAAAAAAAAATCAATGAACAAATATCCTTGGGTGAGGAGTAAAACAATAGGTAAACATAACACGATCTTCTTAAATCCTCATAGCAACTGTAAAAGGTGGGTTTTTATTATTCCCTTCTAAAACGTGGAGGTTCAGAGAGGTCAACTAACTTGTTTAGTACTGACTTGTAGCTAGTAGGTGGTAGGATATGGATAAGAGCATGGATAGCCCTAGCTGGTTTGCTCGGTGGATAGAGCATCGGCCTGCGGACTGAATGAAAGGTCCCAGGTTAGATTCCAGTCAAGGGCACATGCCTGAGTTGCAGGCTTGATCCCCAGTAGGGGACGTCCAGGAGGCAGCTGATCAGTGATTCTCATCGTTGATGTTTCTATCTCTCTCTCCCTCTCCCTTCCTCTCTGAAATCAATTAAAAAAAAAAAAAGAACATGGATCAGTACCTCATAAGGGTAATTTAATATTGTGCTGTAGTGATGCATGCTTATTTTTAAGTATACCTTAGAGTCATGGAGCTTTAAATTGAGAAGAGAATTTAGAGGCGCTTCAGCATCTCACCCATTAATGAAGAAGCTTGGACAGCCTGTTATGCTGGTGCTAAAGCGTTTGTGGGCACTCCAATCCCCAAGTTTTGCATTGATTCCCTAGGTCAGTGGTTGGCAAACTGCGGCGCGCGCACCACATGTGGCTCTGTGGCCCCTTGAGTGTGGCTCATCCACAAAATACCAACTTCTGCGCATGGGCCACGAAGTTTCAATTGCATTGTACGTGCGCACCCGCACGTGGTATTTTGTGGAAGAGCCACACTCAAGGGACCAAAGAGCCGCATGTGGCTCGCGAGCCGCAGTTTGCCGACCACTGCCCTAGGTGAAATTTAGCATTGAAAAGCATATGCACATACACTGGACTTATCCAAAAATAACTTGCATTTGTAATAATATATTACCAAGAAGGCATATGTAGATTTTGTAGATTTATATGTAGATTTTTCTGTCTTACAGGAAATTTCAGGAGCAGGAATGTCCTCCTTCACCAGAACCAACGCGGAAAGAAAAAGACAAGAAAGGCTGCCATTGTGTCATTTTCTAAGAATCCCTTGAGTTATAGCTACCAACTGCCAGGAAAGCCCTCACCTTCTCTCCGTATGGTGACGTCACGGTGGTACCTTTCTAGCCTTAGGCAAGTGAACACGGTGGTGGCCTCTGACCAAGAAGTTGGCTGACCCTTTCTGTGAGGCTGACCCCATCGTCGTTTCAAGACAGATGGAAAGGAAACACTAAGGCTGCTTCAAAAGTTGTCTGATTATTTCAAAAGAGATAACTGTGTAAACAGACACATTCTTTTTTAAGGGCTTACATTTTACTAGGGATGAATCAGATTTGGAACCTAAGCTGTTTGCCAAGCTGAAATCATAGGTTTTGAAATAACTTTTAACTTCTGGAATCATATTGCCTACTGTTAACCTAAATAGAAATATAGGGAGTTTTTTTTAAATGTGAATTTTTGCCTATCTCTAAAACTTTTTATGTCACCTTTAGTTACCGTAAATACACTGAATTGAATCCTCAAAAGTGAGACATCTCAGACCTTTACTGATGTTACAGCCTTTGTTTTCCAGTGGCCAAAATACCAAAATGCCTATTGTATTTATAAATTAAAAACTGCTTTAAAAGCCTTTATATTACTCCTGTTCTTAAAGGTGATAATATTCTGTGTGGCCAAATATTTGAACTCATTCTGGACTTAGGCATTTCAATGGTCTTGGTTTCCTAATTTCACTCTTTTCACAACCATGTTCAGAGTAAGAATAAAGAATTTATGTCTGTCTTCCTTTGTAAGTGTTTCTGGATAAGGGGGTTCAAAAAAAACTAAAACTGTTTTTGTTTGTAATATAAAATATGGAATTGATCTTTCCAGGGTCAGAGATGATTAATGTTTTTGCTATATACTTTTATACATTATTTTCTTATCAAACTAGTTAACAAGTATTTTTATATGTTTGTAAGCAACTATGCTTTCACAGCATACCTTGTGCATATGTAAAGATAAGTATTTAATTCTCACTGTTCACTTTTAACTGACAAAGAAAAAAAAAGTGACAACTACAGGAACTGTGGTGGAACTTGACCTGCTCTTCTGGTCCTGGTTGTGGCAATCTTTGGCCAGTCACGTAGCTCCCCAAGAAACCCGCCCAGCAGAGTACAACAAGAGGAGGATCTGAAACCGCCCTCAGCGTCCCGCTAGATATTGACCGTGTATCCGGTAGTACCTGTAAACCTTTAAATTGACAATTACCATAACGTGGATGGCTCCTGATTTCGTTTTTAATTCTGTGGATTGTGTTTAAACAATTCAAAAGTCTGTTCCTGATTTTGAGATACTAAGTGGTATTGCACAGTTGTCACTTTATTGAATGTGTACAACAGTCCCAGGAGGTTTATAATTCGTGCCCTTGTATAGATTCAGGTGCTGGAATTAAAATTGATCTGTTATCACAAGATGTCGCTTAATGACTTGTTATTTCGGTGGTTTCTTGAAAGAGTGAACGAGGAAATTTACTTTAGTAGCTCGAAGCCTTTTCCTTTGCCTTTAGGATTTGAATCTAAAAGTCAATATTAGTCATTTAGTAGGTGAACTTGAAGTGAAATGGCTTGTTCTGAGGGTTTCTTGAGTAGTTCCTTAAGTCAGTGTTTTTTAAACTTTTTCTGTGACGTGCCCCTGACAGGGACCTCAACTGTATGGAAGAGAGGAATACATCTGAGGATGAAGCTTCAAACACTGAAGTGAAAGCCTATGCATTTATTTGAATGTTAATTAAAATTATTACCCAGTAAGATACCACATTTACTCTTGTCAGCACTTTCAGTTGGGAAAGTTTTTTATTTATCATGGGTAACTTCAGATAGCAAGAGACTGTCTATGTAATATGCAGACTTAATGGGAATCCTTGCATTTTATTCTGAATAGATGATTTGTAGCAAAGCAGCCTGGAAATTAAGTTTTGTTATCTCAGTTTACTACTTTTTTTCTCTGTGTTTCACTTGGGATAAATTTTATTGCTACATCTTGAAGTTCCCTAACCTTTTCTGCAAATGTTTAGTTTGCTATTAATCCCATCCAATGAATTTTTCATTTTATTCTTTTTTTTTTCTTATCTAGAAGTTCTCTTTGGTTCTTTTTTAAAAAAAAAAAATGTATATTTTTATTGATCTCAGAGAGGAAGGGAGAAGGAAAGAGAGACAGAAACATCAATGATGAGAGAGAATCATTGATTGGCTGCCTGCCTCCTGCATGACCCCTACTGGGGATTAAGCCCACATCCCCAGGTATGTGCTCTGACCAGGGATCGAATCATGACCTCCTGGTTCATAGGTCAAATGCTTAACCACTGAGCAACACTGGCCAGGCTTTTTTTTTTTTTTAAAGAATAGATTATTGATTTTTCAATAGAGAGAGGGAGATTATATATCTCGATGCAAGAGTACAACATTAATCGGCTGGCTCCTGCACACCCCCTACCAGGTTCAAGCCCGCAATCTGGGCATGTGTCTTTTACTGGAATCAAACCACAGCAACCTCTGGTGTGTGGGGCGATGCCCAACCCACTGAACTACACCAGCCAGGGCTGTTTGGTTCTTTTTTCTATCTTCTGTTTCTCTCCTCATTATGTTTATGTATTTCTCTTACCCAGGCTCTCTCAATTTGGTTCCCAGAATTGCGTCTAATGCCTTAACTGTTGCATGTAATACATTCACTTCTGTGCGTCTAGAATGGTACTAGCTGTGTATCCTTGAGAGATTTGAGAAAACAGTCATTAAAATAACTTTCTCTTGCTGCTTTGAATATTTGAACATAGTTATAAATAGTTGATCCTATCTATCATCTCTACAATTTTTGCATCTGTTCTATTGACTGATTTTTCTCTAGTTATGGGTCGCATTTCCTTGCTTTTTTGCATGTCTACTAAATTTTGATTAAATGCTGGCCATTGTATATTTTATGTTGTTGGATGCCTAGATTTTGTTGGGCCTTTGTTCTGGCAGTCGGTTAATTGACTTGCGGTTCTGTTTGATCCTTTTAAGGCTTGTTTTTAAGCTTCATGCCATCTCAAGTAGCTTTTTCCCAGGCTAGTTTAGTTCCACTAATAGGTGTGGCCCATTTGGGGTCTCTACTGAGTGCACTCAGTAATTAGTGTGGACTCTCCAATATGGCCAGTGGGAACTGAACTCTCAGCCCCATGTGAACTCTGGGAACCATTCTATTCACAGTTCCTGGGCCATTCTTTGTCCAGCTGACTGGAGTTTCACTCTATACATGTATATCTTAATATTCAGCAAAGACTCATTGACTCTATGCATTTCTGTGTAGCTCTCTCCCTTCCAGAACTTTGTCCTGCAACTTTCAGCTTCCTCAGACTCCCCCATCTCCAGTGCCCGTCCTTTCAGCTCAGGGACACATTTGTGCCCTGCTTAGAATTCCCATCCCTCCATAGTCTGGAGTGTGCCCTGGAGTCAGGGCAATTATAAGGCTTATCTGTTTGTTGCTCTTCCATTAGGGATTGTAGTCCTATGCTCCTTGGTGTATAATGTCTGAAAACAATTGTTTCACATATTTTACACCAGCTTTCTGATTGTCTAAGGTAGGAGGGTAAATCCTGTTCCTGGTTATTCCGTGATTGGAAGCTGAAGTCTCTGCTATTTGATTTTCCTCATATAGTCAGAGTTGCCTTGCAGCTCTCTTCCTCTGTGACTTGAAATCTTTTCTCTATTGCTGAGGGGTTGGCAAACTTTTTCTGTAAAGGGCCAGATAGTAAATATCATTTTGGTCATTGTGGGCCATATAGTCTCTACCATTGTATCCCTGAAGCAGCCATAAACAATAAATGAATGAATGTGGCTATGTTCCAATAAAACTTTATTTGTGGACAGTGAAATTGGTATTTCATATCATTTCTATATGTCATGAAGTATTAATCTTTTGAATTTTTAAAATTGATTTAAGCTTGTAAAAACCATCTGTACAGAAAGCAGATGGCAGACTGGATTTGGTCTGTGGGTTGTGGTGTGCCAAATCTGCTCCCGTGAGCACACTTAGCATTTGAGGTTACATTTCTAACTTTAGAATATTTTATGTTTTTTTATATATTTAGAAATTTGAATTTCTGTCTTAGGAATTTGCTCCCTATATTGTTTAAGGATTTATAATATTTTAGAGGTGGACATTATGCCTTATTGACATACACCTTCAATGGATGATTCTTTAAATTTGGGGCTTTCGAGTTTTATAATATAAATTGGTCCCTTTATCACTTGGCTTTTAAGATTTGATGTGACAAGGTTGTGTATACTTAGTGTCTGGCTTGTTCCTCTTCTAACTTTGATTACCACATTACGTCTTTTTCCATTCCTATCCATAATGTTCCCTTTGAACAGGTGACCAGCAGGCAAATAGGAGTTGAAGGTAAAGTAGTCGCTCTCAACATCACTTTACCACTTATGAATATTTAACCAGGGACTGTTTATAAAGTTTCAAAGTACTTTTTAGAAAAAGGGTATTTCAATGTAAACATTTCTTTATACAAGACTATGAGGTGTTTTTAGGGAAATGGATATGTTGGAGCTTTTTCTTCTTATAAATTATTCAATATCTAGTGGAGGAAGATTAAGAGGGACAAAAATAGAAAAGAAAAAAAAATGTTGGGGCTGTAGAGATAAGACAGATTATAAGAAGAATGCAGAAAGTTGTCAAGTTCAGAAGTGATGCTTCCTGGAAAATCTGGGGGAGCTTCTTAATTAGAAGTGGTGTTTTAGCCGGAACTTTGTGGATTGGTAGGATTTGAGGTGGGGAGAGGAGGTGGAAAGACTGGGGGCAAGCCTGGGCCAAGGCACGGAGTTGGCAGGATAGCAAGGTGTATTCTGGGATTGGAACCTTAACCTAAAACGATTTTAAGTGTGAGAAAAACATACTGATAAAGTAGACTCAGCGTGGGTTGTGGAGGACTTCAAATAGGATGGCCCTTCTGTCTATAATGGAAAATTGCCAAGGGTTCTGAGCAAGGGGTGCCCAGATCTCCGCTGGTGGAGGTATGAACAACAGAGAAGTGTGGACTGGAGGAAGGGTTGCCAGGTAAGGCTATTGGAATCATGGAACCTGTCCTCTTTCCATTTGTTCTGCCACTTTCGTCTAAGCCCCTTGTCTTACAGCCAGGTTACTACAGTGGACTCGGAAGTAATTTATTTCCATCCCCCCCGCCCCCCCCCCCCCCCAAAGCTGCTGTTTCAGTGTGGCCAAAGGGATATTTGTTAGACCATAAATTAAACGTCACACTGCTGCTTAAAGCCTGTCATCATCTCAGTGCTCTTGGCCTAATATCTAAATTTCTTACCATAGTCTACAAGGAACTGTCATCTTCCTGCTTCTCACTTATATTCAGGTTGATTTACTTTGTTGCCCTCTGGAACACTCCGTGTATTTCCCAAATCAGTTGCTTCACTCAGCCACTCCAGTGAACTGTTTTTATCCTTTTGCTCTTGGCTTAGATGCCACATCCTCAAAGAGCCCTCTTGACCACCTATTCTAGTATCATACTGCCTTGTGTTTACTTAATGACACTTACCATCTGTGGTTATTTTATGTGTCTTGCCTGACCTGCACCGTAGGGTCACAAGCTCTGTGAGGGCAGAACCATGTCTGCTGTGTTTACTGCTATGTTCAGGTTTCCTGGCATGTGCAGAAAACTACCTGATGAATGAATAAGGAGCACAGGCAACCCCCTAGCGATAGAAATATGTGGTGATTGTGCCAGTACACACGAGGTTAGTCCAGGCGGCATTTGAGAATGGGGAGTGGAACTCGAAAGAAGAGGCTAGGACAGTGATGGTGAACCTTTTGAGCTCGGCATGACAGCATTTTGAAAAACCCTAACTTAACTCTGGTGCCATGTCACATATAGAAATTTTTTGATATTTGCAACCATAGTAAAACAAAGACATTTTTGATACTTATTTTATATATTTAAATGCCATTTAACAAAGAAAAATCAACCAACAAAATGAGTTCGCATGTCACCTCTGACATGCGTGACATAGGTTCGCCATCACTGGGCTAGGACTAGAAGTACAGATTTGGAATTTATCTAGTTTGAGCTAATGATCGAAGAGGTGGGAGTGGAAGTAGACAGTTTGTCTGAGGGAAGGTCCAAGGGTGGGAAAATGAATATTGGGGGTAGAAGATTAAGAGGCAACCAAAAGCCATGAGGAACCATCAGACCTGGAGAAATAGTCAAGAGACATTTAAAAAAAATATATATTTTATTGTTTTGTTTACAGAGAGGAAGGGAGATGGATAGAGAGTCAGAAACATTGACGAGAGAGAAACATTGATCAGCTGCCTCCTGCACACCCCCCACCAGGGATATGCCCGCAACCAAGGCACATGCCCCCGACCGGCATCGAACCCGGGACACCTGAGTCCGCAGGCCGACGCTCTATCCACTGAG